AAGCTTGCAGGTCTGCCTTCCAAAGACTTTAAATGTGCACCAAATTTTTTTTAGCTCCGCCCACTCAGCAATTATATAATTGAGATGGTGCAATGCAAGCATGTTCCATTCATTTTATTTTATTAAAACGAAATGATATAAAACAAATGTATTATTAATTTAAAACAATGTAGAATTCTTAAATATGATATGTATAATTTGATTATGTTACTTATTATTGTCTACCATATTGTTAAACTTATTTTCAACTCTGTTAGTGGTTTCTAGAGTTGACATTATCCACCATTTTGTGCTGGAGCTCAAAATTCCAACCTCAAACCAGACACCACAGACAATGAGAAATTCATTGAAATATTCTAATAACAGAGTTGACAAATAATTAGCCTAATATTGGTGTATTCTAAACATTAAGTACAAATTAATAAGAATATTGACATGCCTAAATGCTTTCCTGCCAGAAGAAGTGACATCTTGGAGCAGGTCATGCTTTTTCTGTCAGTGATTTAGAGAACGGTATGACTTTTTATCACAGATGTAACAGAGTTGACCATAACTATTATTATTTATTATTATTATTATTAAAATTACAAATAATTCTGAAAATAGATGTTTTACACAAATGTAAAAATGATAAAAATAGACTTGTTTATTTTATGATATGAATTAATGAATTAAACCTGAATTTATGTTTCAGGAGACAGAGACAGTCCAAAATAGGGATGTTTTAATGGAATATATTAAAGACAAAATAATCCTAAATGTACACACAAACATTACTTTAGTGATAACATATTAGAACTGCTAAATTAAAGGCTCTGTGTGTAAGTTTTTTTTAAAAATACCATAATATGTTTGCAAATATTTAAGAAACATGCTAAGTGAACATACTTGTTAATCTGAAAAACGATACTGAAGTCAGATATTCTGCTTTGAATATAGGCGTTACGTGCTAGAATGTCTTTGTTTTGGGTTTTTTAACCCGCCCACTGCCTTTTTAGCCAATTTCAGCACTTCAAGTTGCCTTGTTGGAAAAACTTGTTTTTCATTCATTCAGTCTGGAAGACTCTCAAAGCATGCATCCATGACTGAAATGCAACCTCCGGTGGAAAGTAGCAGAATCCAAAATGAGACGCAGATTCAGAGTTCCACATGATTTTATTAATTAGCAAATAATATATATATATTACAAATTTAAACATTAAGTGAGCAGGTTACATTGTAACTGCGTGTCCTAACACACGCTATATATGTGGGGAGATTTGCAGTGATAAGCAATTTGGCTGTTTGCACAAGACGAAACACGACAGAAATTTAAATACAGCCATTCAGAAGCACAGAATATGCACTCACTGCACTATAACGTAATGGTAAGGTTTATAATCTATTTAATACATATTAAACCTCTATAACATTATTAAATGTACATGCTGAATCACTGATATGTGTTGGTTTTGGGTCACAGTTCCAAAAAATGTCATTTTCAAGAACTGCTGCTTTCAGTAGTATGGCAATACATGTCATATAAAATGGCATTCAAACTCGCATTGTTGGCATTTATTACTGAATAAAGCACATGAGTACCTTAGGTAATCTTTGCCAAAGTTTTCTGTCGTTCAGCTGCAAGAAATAGGAGCCATTTCTAAAATAGAAATTTGAGGTGTTGGTTAGAACAAAAACTACTTTTAATATGAAAAAAATTCTTCTATCATGTGCCATTGCTTTTATTTAGAACACTCCTGGGGTCCATTCTTTGTACCTCACTTAAATGATCTAAGATGAATTGGCTGATCCTGGATTTGTTCATCTTGATAACTGATCTCTTCAAACAAGTTTGCGAATCAAATTAAAATGTCTGGATAACTGATCTGACATCGCTGTGTGTGTTGTGAAGGACAGATCTATTGTTCCTCGAAATCATGATCAGCAATGCAACGATTGGCTGACGGCACAGCAGCGTAATGACATCATCTGATTAATATTCAATTATCCATGTGAGCAGATTACATCAAATTAGCAGTAAACGGTTTGTTAAATATGACACGCAATAACTTTACACTTTTGTTGTGAGCTGCAGGCTTTACTCTTTCAAGTATCAAGAGTATTCATCATGTATTTCAATGCATATCATTATTTAGTTCTACATTTAGAAAAAAAATCTTTATTAAAGTAGGCTAGGCCTACTAAAGTTCTTTTAATCAGCGTAAGGAATAACTGTATAAATTAATTTTGCATCAAAAAACATTTTGATATCGGTAAAGGTATCAATCACCAGCATATTAGCATGACTGCATAAATTATTATGCTCTTTTTAAAAAGTCGAATATTGTGCATGTACGCGTTTACTTCCAAAAAGTTAATATCAATAAATGTTCTATTTGAACCACCAGGTGACTGTCTTTTTACTTTTATTTCGGAGTGCAGATTACATACATATTAATATATATTTTTTAAATTTGTTTATTTGAAATAAAAAGTTTAAACCTGTTTATATGAAATGAACCCACTCTAACGCAGGTTTGAGCTACCAGACCTGTTACTATAACAACAAATATCAGAAGAGTTTTGAAGAACGAAACCATCCTGGGTTGTGTCAAATCGTCAATATTCAAATCCAGCTAATTGAGTAATCCACGTACATAGAACAGACCCCTGATGGTCATCAATCTGGCAACCTGCACTTGCGTGTGTTTTCATCCAAGAATGCAATACATAGTTCAACCGTTGGGTGTCAAACTTGCATACTGTACCTTTAAAGTTTTTTTAAATAATAACTTGGAGATGCAAAATGTACCTGCAGTTCTAGAATCTCCTATGTGGGTGGGTGGGTGTGTAAGTGTATAGACACAGCCAACAATTTTAATTTGTCATTCACAATACTTTTAGTATTACACAGTTTAAGTATTACATAGTATAGTAGTACATAATACTAATAGTATTTACTGTAGTACTTTAGTTTATTAGACAGGTTTTATCATATATACTAACATATTGTTGTAGTTTTTCGTTATTAAAGCTGTGATGTACAGTCTTGTAACTTTTCTTTTTGTCTAATTTCAATATCCTTCTTTAAATGAAAGTTTTTAAAATGTGGATAAACACTTATGCACCGTTGCAAGTTGTGATTAACTATAGCATGTTACTAAGCTAAAGTACAACTTTTACAAGTAAATATGCCTTTCCTATTCTAATTATAAAAGTAATATTCTATTTAAATGATATACACACATTGGTGACCAAGCTTTAATCATTGTAAATGACACTTAGAAACATTTGTTTTGTGCAGGTCACTGATATGATGCAGAAAGCTCTTTTTGACTTCTTAAAACACCGGTTTGATGGCAGGTGAGTTACATAAGGGGTTTAAATAGCTAAAAAAAAGACTCATTTGCTGTAAACAATGCTGACTACAGATGTTTTTATGTTCCTAGGATAACTATCACACGTGTGACAGCAGACATCTCACTGGCGAAGAGATCAGTGCTTAACAATCCCAGCAAGAGAGCCATTATTGAGCGCTCAAACACCAGATCCAGCCTTGGTAAGACACAGAGAGCCAGAACACCTCATAATCGCTTATTAAAGAAATAATCCTGGTTAAACTCAATTCAAGTCCTGTCAACAAAATCTGACACATGTAATCAGTTAACAGAAAATATATTTGTTGTGCAAGTAATGCAATTGAAATAGTTTTTTTATTAGCTGAATGTTAACCCTATAAACAATGTTTTTAATTGCATCTTTTTCTGATATTCTTGCACTGTAAGAAAATGCTGGGTCATTTCAGACCAAATTGGGTAAAATATGGACAGAGCCAAACTTTGTTAAAAATTTGACGCTGTACATTTAATGTAAAAAAGCAGTTGTTTCATAACTAAAATTGGGTTGAAATAGCCCAGCATTCTTAGAATGTACCAGAATATCTAGTAAAAGTCACACTGTTTTAAAAATAATAATGGTGACACCTTAAAAACAGCCTCACACTTTCATTTTCATTTAGTTTAGTACAATATTATTAAAAACAAGAACTCAGAAATAAATCTAAATATTTTTCTGTGGTAAATTATAGTGTCCATTCAGTACTGGACAGGAGCTTTTCATTAGCAATATCACCCTCGTAGCAGTGTGATGTGGCTGTATATTGGCACTAGTGGGAGACGTGCAATGTCTCTGGTGGGACATGGCTTAGTGTCCCACCGGTGACAATACACAGTCGCATCGCACGGCTACAAGTGTAATATTGCATTTATACAACAGTTCGATGGCAAAATCGTGTGTATAAAAAAGAAAATCAAACACGGAGAGTCTAAAATGGTTTTGTAAGAGGAACTACTTTCTTCCGTCATTCATTCACATCTGCAGCTGATGTCAGAACAGCAGAAACCGTTACTAATTCACCAACGTCACTTTAGAACTAGTTTTTAAATGATTCTCTAGCATAATGTCTAAAGTGATGACAAAACAGGTGATTTCAAACTGTAGTGTCTCTCTGCTTGTTTCTGGCTGTATGTGGGCGGAGTAATACACAACGGCTAAAGAGGCTGTACAGGTGCTGATATTACTTAAATATCTCACGGCTATCAGCCAATCAGATTCGAGAACCTGACAGAACTGTTGTTTATATATATATATATATATATATATATATATATATATATATATATATATATATATATATATGAATAATAATAATAGACAAAAACACACACTCACAAAATTATATATATCATTTTAATTTATTTATTAGTGTTTTTTGTTGATTTTTGACAATATGTAACATTTTTAATATTTGAGAAGTTTTTATATTTTTGTAGTATTTTTGATTTATAATTAGAAATAGCATTTTCAGCTAAACAAACTAGGATGGTTTACCTCCATCCTTTTTGCTTATAAAATATACATTACATTAGATTATAGATATTTTTCATTGCAAACGTAAGCTATTTTCTGCAAGCTTGCAAAACTTTATGTTTTATCATTTGGGGATTAAATGTTACAGAAAAAAAACAATAAATTGTAAAACTACTGTTTTCCACTGCTAATAGTGTTTATTATGACAGTAAATTAATACCAGTGTGCACTCTAATGCACTGCTTCTGTACTGCTAGACAAACACTGGAAGACTCTCACATTTAAGTTGCAAGTGGGCCGCTCTTATATTAAAAATAAAGTGGACACTAACTTTAAATCATCTTTTAGTATAGCTTAGCTAATTTCTAAAAAATTTCTGCAGATAATTTTGCTGCTTAGTGAACTCTATGTTGAGTAGCATGTCCAACATATAATATATCCCTTTAACATTACCATACACAAATGTCAAGTCCTGATTGTTTTTGTTCTATTAGTGTGCTAACTGTAATCTAGTGTCTCTCACTCTCTGTTTGATATACATGTACAGCTGAGGTACAGAGTGAGATTGAGCGTATATTTGAACTAGCTCGATCGCTCCAGCTGGTAGTGTTGGACGCAGACACCATCAACCATCCTGCTCAGCTGATGAAGACTTCACTAGCACCCATTATCGTCCATGTCAAAGTGTCCTCGCCGAAGGTGCGACAGTCCTGTGTCATTGTTTTAGTGTTTCCAACTTCAGTGTTCTTGCTGTTTAACCGATGTTTCTATCCTACAGGTCCTCCAGAGGCTCATCAAGTCCAGAGGAAAGTCGCAGAGTAAACACCTCAACGTACAGCTCGTAGCGGCTGACAAACTAGCGCAGTGTCCTCCGGTGTGTCAGCACTTACAACATACATGTAGACGTATGAATCAATGAATCAATATATCACGGCCACCAATATGTACAGTATTGATTTTGTGGGAGTTTTAAAATATGGTGATTAAATCTTTTTTTTTTTATTTCAACGTTTATGGACCGTTCACATATCGCATCTTTATTGTGTGCAAGTTTGTTATTTCCAATGTTTGCGCAACATGCTTTCATTTTCCTGGCACACCTAGTTGAAAACATCTCAACTTTTCAGAATGCCTCAAATGCACCACGAGTCACGTGACAAGATCTAACCGATCAGCTTCATACTTTGTATAGAATATACACATTTCAGACACCGAACACCCAAACACTACAGTGCTTTTTATTTTTTTACATAAATAAAACTAGTATCAGAGCTGCAGCAATGGTTTGTTAGTTTGTCATCTTCCATAGTTTGTGAGCAAACGGTTGATGGTCACCTATTGCAACGACAGATGACAAAGGTAGCACAAAGTGTATTGAAAAAGGTGTAGGAAGCGATGCGCTTGCGCATTGCACATGCTTTTAGACACGATATGTGAACGGCCCCTTTGAGTGCCTTTTAAGAATAATTAGTTTGTTGTATAAGTGGTTGCTCAAAACAGTACCAAATGCGTAAATACTAGTGCAGTCAAAAGATAAATCGTACTTAATCGCATCCAAAATAAAAGCCTGTTACAGCACTAGCATTTACATTTATATACACACAATAAATGGCGACGCATTGGCGCAGTAGGTAGTGCTGTCGCCTCACAGCAAGAAGGCCGCTGTTTTAAGCCTCGGCTGGCTCAGTTGGAGTTTCTGTGTGGAGTTTGCATGTTCTCCCTGCATTCACGTGGGTTTTCTCCGGGTGCTCTGGTTTCCCCCACAGTCCAAAGACATGCAGTACAGGTGAATTGGGTTGGCTAAAATTGTCCATAGTGTATGAGTGTGAATGAGTGTTTATGGATGTTTCCCAGAGATGGGTTGCAGCTGGAAGGGCATCCACTGCGTAAAACATTTGCTGGATAAGTTGCTGGTTCATTCCGCTGTGTAACGGATTAATAAAGAGACTAACCCGAAAAGAAAATGATTGAATGAATGAATGAATGAATGAATGAATATACATAATAAATATGCAAAATACACAGAGAGTGTGTGTGAATGTGTGTGTGTGTGTGTGTGTGTGTGTATATATATATATACTATGTGCGAACGCAGTTTGACAGCATAATTGTGTATATAAAAACAAAATCAAACATGTAGAGTCTCAAAAACCCTTTTGTATGAGGAACTACTTTCTTCCGCATTGGATTCAAATCATAAGCTGACAGTTAAACAGCTGAGCAAGCATCTTTTAAACTTTAGATCTGTAGGGTCTGCTATTTGCTGGCTGTATGTGGGAGGAGTAATACACAAAGGGTAAAGAGGCTGTACGGGTGCTGATATGGCTTAAATACATCACAGCTATCAGCCAATCAGATTCGAGAACCAGACAGAACTGTTGTATAAATATTTATATATTCACACACACACACACACACTACCAGTGAAACTACCTGTTTGGGGTCAGTGGGATTTTTAAATGTTTTAAAGCTTCTCCTGCTCTCCTGCCAGCAGCTAGCTAGCAACTCTCACATGGTCGCCCACTGAAGCTAAGCAGGGCTGCGCCGGGTCAGTACCTGGATGGGAGACCAAATGGGAAAGCTAGGTTGCTGCCGGAAGTGGTGTTAGTGAGGCCAGCCGGGGGTGCCCAACCTGTGGTCTGTGTGGGTCCTAATGCCCCAGTATAATGACGGGGACTCTATACTGCTCAGTGAGCGCCGTTTTTCGGATGAGATGTTAAACCGAGGGCCTGACTCTCTGTGGTCGTTAAAAATCCCAGGATGTCATTCGAAAAGAGTAGGGGTTTAACCCCGGCATCCTGGCCAATTCTGCCTACTGGCCTCTGTCCATCATGGCCTTCTAACCCTCCCCATATCATAATTGGCTTCATCACTCTGACTCCTCTCCGCCAATCAGCTGGTGTGTGGTGTGCTGTCCGGCTCAAAATGGCTGCCGTCGTGGGGAGATTCCCCCCTATGTGTAAAGCACTTTCAGTGCCCAGAAGAGCACTATATAAATGTAAAGAAATATTATAATTTATTATTATTACCATGGCTTCATTTACTTCATCAAAAATACAGTAAAAATTGTGAAAAGTTATTGCACTATAAAATAACTGTTCAAAAACAGTTTTAAATTAATTTTATCATTTATTCAAGTGATTCTAAAAATACATTTTCAGCTTTATTACTCCAGTCTTCAGAGTCACATGATCCTTCAGAAATCACTCTAATAATAAGAATAATAATAATAATAATAATAATAATTATTATTATTATTATTATTATTCTTATTCTTATTATTCTTATTCTTATTCTTATTCTTATTCTTATTCTTATTCTTATTATTATTATTATTATTATTAATGGAAATGAAAGCAATAAATAATAAAATATAGTGACTGGAGCAATAATTTCACTTGAGTCTACAAACAATAAAAAAGCAGTTATTTAAAATTTACATAAATATATAAGAATTATTTTCATTTAAAAAAATAAATTTAATTCAATTTAATTTTAATCATTATAAATTTGACATGTTTGACGTGACTTTTTGTAGGTCTTTTGTTCGTTACCTCTACACAATACGGTTCATTTTAAGTGATGTTAATTTCGTATATAATGCAAAGCAACACATTCAAATCAAAATACATAATAATTTTATTAAATGAAGATAATAACTAATAAAAATCTGTTGTGTTAAATTAGCTTAATTTTTTTATTTTATTTTTGCCTTTGTCCCTTTATAAATCCGGTGTCACCACAACGGAATGAACCACCAACTTATCAGATTAAAGAATAAGGTTAATACTGTCTTAATTCTCCTTATTGACCTTATTCTTCAATCTGTAAGTGCGTTTGTTTTTGAGATTTCTAAAACTTCCGATTCAGTTGCCTATGGGAGAAATGAGTGGGAATATTAAACGGCAGAAAACGGTCAAACTACTTGCTCTACAAACAAGTGTTCATGACTATAAATAAAAAGTAGAATAATATAATAAGAAATTATCAGTTTGCAAGATCAAGCATCATAATGAGCCGTTATTAATGTCTAAAATTCAGTGGAAGTGAATAGTACCAGATGTCTTGAGCCAAAAAGATTTCATTTGTGCATGAAGAAGGTCAGTACCATGATAAATGCTTCATTAATTAATCGCAACAAGAAAATTTGATACCGACAGAAGCCTACAGACAAACATAAACACACATCTAGAAGGAAGTTCCAGTAATGACTCCAGTTTCATGAAGACAGTCTGTTTTTCAGTGCACTAATGGACGTCATGTCTGTGTGCATGTGTTTATTCCTCATTAACAGGAGATGTTTGATATTATCTTGGATGAGAATCAGTTGGAAGACGCCTGCGAGCATTTGGCGGAGTATCTGGAGGCATACTGGAAGGCCACACACACCTCCAGCAGTACCCCGCTCAACCCGCTGCTGGGCAGAAACCTTGGCCCAGCTGCCCTCGCCCCGTACACTACATCTGCCATATCTGGCTTGCAGGTGTGTAATCATATTAATTATTTAAACACTATCAAATATGTTTTCATGAATTTACAATGGCCTGTTTCCACATGATTGCAAAACTGCTAGCCTGACGTCTCTGGGCTATTATGTTTTCCCTTCGGGCTACCAAAAATGTATCCACCCTGCCCGTCAAGCTATGTTAATGCGAGGGGAGATTTAGCCTGTTTCAACTCTTTTGCATATTCTCATTAATTGTGTAATTTTGTTGTATGTAATTTGTATGCATTGAGGAGCCACTATCAATATATGTTTGAATTGGCGTTTGCATTAACTGATGTTGTCAACAGAGTTAGGGGTAATGCGTTACGAAAAAATATTACTTTTCCAAAGTAACGTGTAATATAACACATTACTTTTAAAAAGAATTAAAATTATTTGAGTTACTTTTTAAAAAATGTAACGCGAGTATATATTGCGGAATAAAAAACAATTTAGTCAGGTTGAATCACACACTTAATGAGAGAGCATGCTATGAGGGAATAGACAGTCGAGTCATCGTCACACTCAGGCCCGGATTAAGAACTCAGGGGCGCATTATCTACTCCGCCGCACCCATATAGTTGAATTAAAAAAAAAAAGAATAATATAATAATTTTACATTAAAATGAATCTATAAATTATATATATATATATATATATATATATATATATATATATATATATATATATATATATATATATATATATATATATATATATATATATATTTTTTTTTTTTTTTTTTTTTTTTTTTTTTTAAGGACATTTTTAATGTATAACTTTTAGAAACATTTAAAGCCTTTTAATGGCATGGCATAAAACACACAATGCCTCTCCAATCTAGTTCTATGAATCTGAGTCTTTCATAATACACACACTTATTAATGATTTACTGTCTCTCTCCCCCCTCCCTGTATTTTCTCTACTCTCCTCGCGATGAAGAGTTGGCAAACAGCATAAATCAACTTGATTATAAAACATATTGCTGTTACACATATGAAATAGGCTAACGTTAAACAGTATTAAATACCCATGAGGCACTTGTGACTTTATATCGCAATTGCATTATTTAAAAAAAAATGTTTCTTTCCTTTTAAAAATAATTATATTTATGTAATGGGGAGAGAAAAAGTAGCACGAGTTCAGCAGATGGTGTATTCGAACCACGTCAAAACATGATGCTGTGTGCTTTACGAGATACGCCACTCACGCTGTAACCTGCTACGCTCTTCACTCACGTTGTCTCTGTCAATCAGGCATTGATTGGCGTTAACCATGAATAGCTATTTCCAACTAGGTGCGCTATTTGCACACTCCGAAATTGGCGTTTTTTCCTCCCCTCACAGGGGCCCTAAGTGCGTACGGGCCCCTGGGCCTGTGCCCATAAGGCCCATTGGTTAATCTGGCCCTTGTCACACTCATCATCAGTTTTCTTTTTTCACAGCAGATGAGTCAGTGTACTGTTTTAGTAACTGAATAACTCAGGATATTGGTTTATTTCAAGTCAGAGGGGGTATATCCAATATGTTAGTACTTACTGAAGAGGCAAACCGTTTCATGACAACTCCGTTAAATTTAATGAACTGGTTTGATCGGTTTACTAAAGATCTGGTTAAATAAAACGATTCATTCGCTAATCGCTTTTTTATTTCAAATAACAAAAAATAAAATCACCAGAAATGAAAAATGAATAAAAGCTTGTTTTTTTATATATTCTGAAACCACACAGCCCGACTCATTTACAGTGACACAGTGCTGTATTATGTAGCCTATTATTTTTTCATCCTTAAGGTTATAAAAGGCATTTTGTTGTTATAACTGGATTTTGTTAAGACAAATGTTCCTCATTAAGACAACATTTCTCATATAAGGGCCAGTTATAGGCTACATATTTATTTTCATTTTGACATGCGTTGCCTTACTGAACACTTTTCTAAAAAGAAAGTTTTAATATTGTTAAAACCATAATACTTCCACTTCCCGAAGTTTTACCACGATCATAATATTTTTATTTTTATTTATTTATTTTTATTACATAACTATAACATGGAGAGATGAGCAATGATTCCAAACTATTGCCAATGTTAGTGTCACTCCTGAAGTGGAAGTGATTTTTGCAATAAACTTTGTTTTCAGAAAACTGTTCAGCATTGCAAATAATGCATATATCCTCAATTATGTTGTTCCATATAACCGGCTTCAATAAGAAAAATATGTATTAACAAAAGCCTGTTATCACAAAAAAAATATTTTAGAACATTATTAAGTGCAAAAAAATAATAGCCTGTGTGTGGCAGCATTGTGTCACCGTAAATGAGTCGGCCTGTCTGGTTTCACATTGAATTTTCATTTTTTGAAAATAAAATGAAAAAACGACTAATTTCTGTCTTTTAATATCTGTTTCTAAAATGAAAATCAAATGACAAAAAGATTCACTGACCTAGAAGCCACTAAGTTTTGTGATATAGTACGATTTTTTTCTCTTTTGGGAAACTATTTACACACTTGTTAAGGCCACGTGAAGAAATTTGTTCAATGTATAAAGCTCAAAGATTTATTTTGATTTGGGAATGATTTTTATCATCCTACTATTCATTTTGTTATTAAACATTTTAAAGGTTTAAAATCTGTTTTTGCCTTATAAATAATTTCATGTTTGTACTCTTAGGCTTTTTTTGCAGTCTTTATCTCATTGGACAGTGAGTTTACTTAACTAATAACACAAAACATACAAAAGTAACAAATGCATTACTTCACATGCTTTCATTAATCGGTATATACAGCATGTATAGCTCTGGGCTCAGAAAGTTCTCAAGATATAATTTTATCCTACACTTTTTAAAGGAAAATGAAGGTGTAGGTTCTATAGGTGGCTGTTAAATGCAGAGCTTCTCGATAAAAAAGGTGAAAAAACACCTGCAAGTTCTGAAAGAGATTAAACCTCAGTCGATTAAGGAAAAGTAACGCAAAAGTAACTCAAAAGTGATATAATGCATTACTTTCCAAAAAAAGTAACACAATTTCATTTCTATTTTTGTACCCCTACCTCTTCCCCTTCCCATTGGTCCTTAAAACCGAGTGTGAAGGGGAAGGGCTTCAAATTTTACCTCTAAGAAATGGGACAGCACTTCAACACCTGCAAACGTCCTCATATGTCATTGTGAGCACTTGCTTCATATGAGATCAGACGATCGCACTGGCTGTGGTTATTCCAGTTGTTATTTTTTGGTATTTATCTTCAGGAAATCACTGAAGGCAAATATTATGTTATCATAATGATCTAATGCTACCATCATGCTCTAAAAACCATTATGGTAAAACACGAACATGGTTAAGAATATATTAAAACATGTGCTTGTTCAATGTAAAAAAAATCCTAATAATGACAAAAAATAATAATTTGTGAATCTCCTTACTTCCGGGTTCTGCGATCCTGCTGTTGTGGCTATAGTATTCTGGGAATTTTGAGTGAGGTCCTGAAAAATATTTGTTTGAAGTTCTATCTACTCCTTCCACTTAGCCTTACGCCTTCAAGCTAAAGAGAATTGGGACACCCCTTCAGAAAATGCACAAAATGATAGTTAGGGGTAAGGGCAAGGGCTAAGGGGTAGAATTAGGATTGGGCCTTAGTTACTTTTTTGGGAGATGAACTCAGTATTGTAATGCACTACTTTTCAAAGTTACTTTCCCCAACACTGCTTGTCAAAAGATTAAAATTTGGAGAGAAAAAAAAACTATAACAGTAAGTCTCCTATAGTTAATATCATCATAACTTTTTTATTTAATAAATGTATGTAATTCATTTTATTTAATAAATATCTTTTCTTCTAAAAACTGAACTGACTTGCCCAAAAGGCTTACTTTTACACTGCACTTTTCACCCCATAGACATCCATTCATATGCAAGCAAATTGTGCAGACTGGAAACACAAGCTTGTGTTTCACATGATGCTGTGTTCAAATGTTCATGCTTGGTGAACTCTGACCTGCAAAAACCCATCATATGATTCCGTGAGACCAATAGAGGATCAAAATGTAACATCTCTGTACAGAAGTTTTAAATATGGAGCAATTGCTTTATCAACGCATAACCAACTTCATCTATGTCTTATTAACAAGCTTAAACTCTAGTGTGACTGCAGCTTAAGAATTTAGAAATTTTGTGAGCCCTGTGATTATTCATTTGACGAGAAGAGATCAGATGAAGAACCTATGACTATTTCTATCGGCTGGCCTGGGAACACCTCGGGATCTCCCTTAGGAGCTGGAAGAAGTGTCTGGCAGGAGGGAAGTCTGGGGTTCTCTCCTAAGACTGCTGCCTCCGCGAACCAGCCCCGCAAAAGCAGTAGAAAATGAATGAATGAATGAATTAATAAATGAATGAATGAAATAATTAATGATTTCTTGTGTGGCCCGGTACCAATTGATCCCAGTGGTTGAGGATCACTGGTCTAACTCAAATCCTGCTGTGTGTAAACAAAAATATTAATGTTTACTCTTATTTTCTACTTGTTCATCAGAATCAACAGGGGCAAAAAACACGGCACGCCAACCACACCGGGGACCACTCCACCCCCAATGAACGGCGCAACTTGATGACCTCAGACGAGAACTACCACAACGAACGGGCGCACAAGGGACGAAACCGGGGCTCCTCTGGCTCGCAGCACGGTGGCAGCGGTAGAGACCACCACTACATGGAGGAGCAGCAGGGCTACCAGGACCCCTACCAGGACACCTACAAGCCCCACCGCAACCGCAGTTCCCCGGGCAGCTACAGCCAGGACTCACGACACCGGCTCTGAGAAGCTCCGGCCCGTGTCCTCCTCCAAGCCTGAGCCACCGAGCCAAGATGGCTTCTGTCCAGAATTGTACACATCTTCCATTTGGTTTTCGTTTCATTAGGGTCTCCTGAGCTACAAAGCAGAAACTTTGTTTTTAACCCCTCCCGAACCTGTACCATCTGACCGAAGCCTGCACATCCACAAGCTTAACACAAGGCTCTCTGGGAAAAGGAGACCATTCGACATGCAATGCAGCAGAAACTTGACACTTGTTATGTTTTCACTTGTTAATATGCTTGTTGATTTTTGGTTTGGTCAATTCTGTTGCAAAAGGGCAGGTTTTCCTTCTACCAAGCAGCTGTTTTACTTTCAGATGGAATGGAATGATTGCTTGGCCCTAAAAAGCGAACGTTCTGTGAAGCTAGATTCAGCAGAGAATCAGAAAGTATATACTGAATAAGGAGCTCATTTAGTCTTTGTTTGCCAGCATGTTACCTGACCGCATGCTTCCCCCTGTCATTAGTGCATAACTTGAGCGGAAAGACCAGAAGATGACGCGCTGTGATCATTGCCCCAAGAAAAATGGCTGCCAAACTGGAACATTTCAATCCTAACGTAACACAAACCTACTGCCAGCTGTCTTTTGTTACAGAAATGGAATCTTAATACCTTGATCTTGGAGTTTTCCGATCTCATGCGACTGAATTTCCACATTATTTGAGCAGTAAATAGCAGGAATCCTAGATTCAGCCACTTTAGCATGATGCACTGCATTCTAGCACTCATTCGTTCTTTTTCTAGTTAGGAAGACAGCTTAAAGAGAACATTGGAATGCTGAACTAAAGTGTCGCCGTGATCTAGTCCTCAGTAGAGTTAGCAAGCGTTCACAAGATTCATTTTCATTTGAAAGCTGAAATTGGAGCATTTGGGTAATTAGTTTACTTAAAAAAAGAGCATTTTCCTAAATGTAACTCTGGGATGGACAGGTTTATTTGAATCTTTGGAAGATGACTGGCTGCCTGTGCTCCACCCTGCCAACCGAGGCCAACGCCGTCCGGTCTACTTCAGTAGATACACAGTGCCCTCCTCAGTGGCTCAAATGCTACAGACTCAACCCACCAAGTTGTCGTTCTTCTGCTCGTATGTTTTCAGCGTAAATAGGACAGTCCGAGGACAAGTAGATCCTCAAAAAGTGGAAGCTTTCAGACCCAAGGCCTTGGCACACCATGGATTTCCTCGCCTGCATATTCCTGCCTTATTGATTTATGCTAGTTTGTGCATTTTCAGAAGAATACATTTGAAAGAAAAAACAAACTGAGGACCGCATTCTGTATGCATTTGTCTATGAGCATGCTTCTCTGTTAATTATATAATGAGGATGAATGAACATGAGGAATCTGGCAGTCGATGCCCATTTGACTAAATGAAAAGAAGAAGAAAAAAAACTCATCTCTGAATTTGCTGCCTGAGACAATCAGATGGAACTTCTCTGTAAAACCGGAACGTTGTTCATCCCTTTCCCGTCATCCCGCTCTCTTTCCCGTTTCACAGCAGCTTCATCTGAGCTCCAGATTAAAAGAATAAAAATGTGTCCATTCTTTTCCTTTTTTTGTGAAAATTAAAGATGGAAATGCAAAACTGCATGCATATCATTTTAATTTATTACAAATTTGACAGAAAACTAATGTTTTATGGAATATAATTGTGTAAAAGGCAAATCTAGCAGTATTTCAGTTCTTTTACAAAAAAGAAAAGAAGAAAAAATAAATGGTCATTTTGAAACTTGGTTGTACGTCTTCATTCATCAGAGATTTCTGGAGTCATCTGTGAATTTGGAAAAGTTGATGCATGTAAACTTCTGCAAGATTTGAAACAGAAATTTCAGTTCACATCATTCATTCATTCATTCATTTTCGTTTTTGGCTTAGTCTCTATGTCAATCAAAGGTCGCCACAACGGAATGAACCGCTAACTTATCCAGCATATGTTTACGCAGCAGATGCCCTTCCAACTGCAACCCATCACTTGGAAACACCATACACACTCATTCACACACATACACTACAGACAATTTTAGCTTACTCAATTCACCTACAGCGGTAGGACTGGTAGGGGAAACTGGAGCACAAGAAGGAAACCAACACAGGGAGAACACGCAACACTGAAATCCAGCCAATGCTCAAAACAGCAACCTTCTTGCTGAGGTGACAGCGTTACCCACTGCGCCGCCACCCCTAAATTGGTGTTTAGAAAGTAAATTCAATTTGAATGTTCATTCATTCATTTTGTTGTCAGCTTATGTAACTTTATTAGTATGGGGTTGCCACAGTGGAATGAACCGGCAACTTATCCAGCATATGTTTTACGCAGCGGATGGGAAACACCCATACACTCCCATTCACACACACTGCATCAATTCACATAAACAGCATGTCTTTGGACTTGTGGGGGAAACCGGAGCACCTGGAGGAAACTTATGCAAACTCCACACAGAAATGCCAACTGACCCTGCCCAGGGTCGAAAGAGTGACCTACTTGCTGTGAGGCGATCGTGCTAGCCACTGTGACAGCCCTTGATTTGAATGTTAACTAAACCTACACGATCACAGTAATAGGAGTATTTGTAATTGGTTACTTTACACCACTGATCATTACTTTAAGAAATGAAGGTCAGTCAGTCCGAAAAATTGGAAAATCTTTAAAAGTGTCCTCAAGTGCACACAAAAACCATCAAGTGATACAAAGAAGCTGGCTCACATGCGGACCGCCCCAGGAAAGGAAGACCAAAAGTCACCTCTGCTGTGGAGGATAAGTTCATCCGTCACCAGCCACAGAAATCGCAGGTTAACAGTAGATCAGATTAGAGACCAGGTCAATGCCACACAGAGTTCTAGCAGCAGACACATCTCTAGAACAACTGTTAAGAGGAGACTGTGTGAATCAGGCCTTCATGCTAGAATATCTGCTAGGAAACCACTGCAACAAGCAGAAGAGACTGGTTTGGGCTAAAAAAACACAAGTAATAGGCATTAGACCAGTGGAAATCTGTGCTTTGGTCTGATGAGTCCAAATTTGAGATCTTTAATTCCAACCACCGTGTCTTTTTGCGATGCAGAAAAGGTGAACGGATGGACACTTCACGCCTGGTTTCCACCGTAAGGCATGGAGGAGGAGGTGTGATGGTGTAGGGGTGCTTTGCTGTTGATACTGTTGGGGATTTAATCAAAATTGAAGGCATACTGAACCAGCATGGCTACCACAGCATCTTGCAGCGGCATGTTATTCCATCTGGTTTGCATTTAGTTGGACCATCATTTATTTTTCAACAGGACAATGACCCCAAACACACCTCCAGGGTGATGGGGTGCTGCTCCAGATGGCCTGGCCTCCACAGTCACCGGACCTGAACCCAATCGAGATGATTTGGGGTGAGCTGGACTGCAGATGGAAGGCAAAAGGGCCAACATGTACTAAGCATCTCTAGGAACTCCCTCAAGACTGTTGGAAGACCATTTCAGGTAACTACCTCTTGAAGCTCATCTAGAGAATGACAAGAGTGTGCAAAGCAGTAATCGAAGCAAAAGATGGCTACTTTGAAGAACCTACAATATGACATTTTCAGTTGTTTCACACTATTTTTTGTAATAATAAATGTGTTATAAAATAAAGTTTTAACAGTTTTTCATGCGAGAATGTTGTTGTTTTAAACTCAAGTCTGTGGTTTATTTATTAAGATAATACGTATTTTAAAATGTTGTTTTGAAAATGCGGAGATATGTGACCTCTACGGTGGCCCATATGGGTGCCCAATATTCTTGAATCCGTCTAAAGCAGGTTGGTCACTCTGACATTTAAGCTGACTTTGAAATCATTTTGTGTGTTTAACAGTCTTTGGTTACGTGAATCAATTATTTTTGTTCCAATTTACGTTTTGGTTAAGCACAAAGTTATGTTTATTAAATATTATTTATTATTTCCATGTTACCTTATAAAATGAAGGTGCAGTGCACCCAAAAATGGAAAACAACGGGACAGTTTAATGCACTGAACAGTCTGAAGAAACTGGTTAGGTTATTTACTTCACAAAATAATTTGTCTAAAAATAAATAAACATAATAATCTTATAGTGTGTGTGGAGTTGTTCTTGGTCAATTGCAGTACTGTATTTAGATGCACAGTAACTGATTTTTCCCCAAAATTCATTATAAAATCTACAGTAACATACTGTTAACCATGTTCACAGTATAGAAAAGTTGAAAATACATTATTATACTGTGAAAACAACAATATATACAGTAATACACTGTGCACAACTTATACAGTAAAAAACTGTTGAGAAATGCAGTATAATACTGTGAAAACAACAGAAATCATTTACAGTGTATATAACTCCACATGTGTTCATTCATAGTTTTGATGCCTTCAGTGTGAATCTACAATTTTCATAGTCATGAAAATAAAGAAAACTCTTTGAAGGAGAAGGTGTGTCCAAACTTTTGGTCTGTACTGTATGTGTATATATACATATACATGAAGTATAATACAGTTTACTATAGTGTGGTTCAAATGTATTTCATGTGTTTTTTATGCGTATATTAAAATAATGTGTACATGTTTAGGCCTATGATAGGGAAAAAAATCTTTGTCCGAGCTTTTGACAGAAAATGTACAAGTTCTCACTAAAATGCAATTCCTGTTTCAAACAGTAGGGAGCAGTGTCGTCTTAAATCTCTCCATCCACCCGACCCTCATATTAGCAACCTTTTCTCCTCCCTCAACCTTACCCCTCCCCTTCCTCTTAAACCTTGATTAAAGGCACTTTGTAGTGTAGTGTAGTGCTGTGCGCACTTCATCTGCCTTATTTGTTGATAAATGGGCACGATTTTATTCTGAGTGAAATACCTAATATAATATTAAGATCAATATTAACCCAAGATAAATCTCTAAAACAAGCTAATAAATATAATGTGTCTTTTCTTTTTTTCCAAGAGCTCTATTATCGAATTAAGAACAATATTTATTTCCTTCCCAATACCTCCCAAAGCTAAAGAAGGATATTTTAAAATGTTCAATGATATTATACCCATCTGCAGAATTTCTTACACATAGATTTAATTTTGATCACAACAATTGTACATTCTGTGAGGTTGACATTGAAACGACTGCACATTTATGTTCTGAATGTTTATATATAGCAGAACCTTTTGGTCTGATTCATTCGAGTGGTTAAAGATTTCTCTCAAGTTGTCCTCCCAATTTTCTAAAAATTGTATTTTCTTTGGTTTATAGTATATATTATAGTATAGTATTATAGTATATATTTATAATATTCAATTTGTACTAAACAATATTCTAATTTGGGGGAAATTTAATATTCATTAATGCAAGAGCCTCAAAACAAAACCACTTTTTTTTTTAGTTTTCCAAAAGGAATTTTTAATTATACTGTAAATCTTTAAAGTTGCTACAATTAAAATGTGGAAGAAGACTGTTTAGTTTATTGAAAAAAATTAATTAATAGAAGACCCGGTGTAAATGTTTTTTCTTTCTTTCTTTTAGTTGTGTTTGTGTGTCTATTCTGTGGTTTAAGTGTATATTTTTGTATTACTATTTTATTGATGTCATTATTTGTGCTCTTTTCTATAAATGAGGATGAAAGTTATTCAAATTTTGTCTTATTGAAATTGTGTTATAATGCAATACAAAAATAATGTGAAGTGTCTAGACCAAGACATCATGTTAAACACTGAAAATATAATCGCATTTTATGTCTGTGGTTCATCAGTCTGTCATTTTATCAATCTGACTAAAAACGCCGATCTAGAACTCACAATTATGGAGACCACTAAGGGATGTAAACAATAACTATTTCCTGAATTATATTTTTTTTCATTTTCAAAGCCTCTAAGAATCCAAAATGAGCCACATATTGAAAAATAATGGTATGGCAGCCGTTTAACATTATGATTAAATTGCCTTACAGTTACGAAAGAGTTTGGCGACAAGCAGGTAATGTTCATGGGCCAATGACATCAACACATTAAAATCATCTGTCTGGCCGAATAAATTAATTAAAGATATAAGACTCCATATATTCTTCAGGAGAGTTATTCATGTGAGAAAATTTAAGTAGCACGGGTTCTATTAATCTGCTGTTTCATGCATAGCACTTGGAAATAAGTGCATTTGCTGTGCTCATTACATCAACACCTACTTTTTAAGGAAAGTGCTCTTTGTGGTTGCCAGGCAACATTCAATTTTCCCTCTTCATTGTGCCCATATTAGAAATGGCCACATGGATGGAACTGCATCATGAAAATCAAAAAGCTGCATGCTCAGCGCTAATAATAGCAGAATAATACAAAGTGGGAAAGAATTGGTGAATATCGATAGTTATTCAAAACAGTCAAGTTTTACTAGAT